GATACGTATAAATAGTAGTTTATCTATATACACATATACATGAACACATACATATGTGTTTAGTTTACCAATATGTTTAGCTACTAAAAATGTTATTAAAAATAATAAAATGATCAAACTACTTTTGAACAACTTTTGCTCAAAACCTCTTCTGTTGTGGAGAATAATAATGTGAGTAATAGAATTCTTTTACTTTAGGCCTCAAAGTTTGATAAAAGTCAACCAACATGTTATTTTTTATTATTGTTGATTGAATAAATTAAACATTCTACCTCCAGCTCAACCCAAGAATTTTAACCCTGGATGTGTTTCCATGTAGAAATACACCCAAATTTTGAAAAACTAAATAATTTATTACTAGGAAAGTAACTTTAGAGCTGGGAAATTATCAGTCTATAATTTAATGTATGTTTTGCAATGTTTCAATGTATCTAGCTGTTAAATATTCATTTTTAGCCCTTTAAAATGATCTAAAAATTACAGAGATAACTCATGGTAATACTTTCATATAATGGCAAGCAATTCCATCTCTTATTCTTCTTCAATTTTATCTTTTTTTCTGAACTCTTTATGCCTTAGTTGTTCCAAGATTATTAAAATCTTCAAATCCCACATTGCAACTGACACTTCATAGTCTGCTAATTCCCTCCTTGGAAGAACTTATATTTCTATTATTATAAATAAATATCTCCATCCAAAGGAAAGAATAATAATCTGTTTGCTGGTTTATACATTTGAAAATTATGATGAACTTCTTCTTTGCTTTGAAAATAATATCTTGTCACTGTAGAGTATATTTTCAATTTATAGTATCTCTTTTTTTCTTTGGGAATTTAAAATACTTTAAATAATTTGGGCTTTGCCTGATTCCCTTAGAATTGTAGAGTATGACTGATAACTGCCTTTAGAATCCCTAATAGCTAAATTACAATTATTATGCAAAGTCCTACAATAGACAGTTATATGGATTGTTAAATGACTTTGCCTTTTTTGCAAACTATAATCATTTTCCTTTATTAGCTGAAGGATTTCATAATTTAAGGAAGATGAGAAACCTATAAGTCACGCTTTCAAATAAGGAACATGGATATTGCAAACATTAAATTCCCCCATAAAAATGTTAAGGCATCATTAAACTAGGTTCAGATTAATACAATTCAGTCAACTCTAGACAGATATCTCCCATAATAAGCTGAAACAATACCTAGTGATCTAAGATGTAAAATATTTTACTACAGCCAATTTATAAACCTATAAAACATACAGGTATCATTCAACCTCTTTATTAATAGTGCATGCCTGGTATTAAATCAAAACCATTTCAAAGGCCCCTCCTCTTTGGCATTCCCTTCCTCAGCTGTTGCCCCTCATTATGTGTTATCTCACTGAAGCTCATCCAAAGTGAATGACAGCATCTTTTTTTACTAGAAGCAGCATAGGCAATCCCCAGACTAGCGAGTGATACAGCTTAACTATCTCTGAGATTTATAGACACATTTGCTATCCTCAGCCTACAACATTCTATAGCCTGATGTTGATATATTTGTTTCTCTGTAAGTAGATGTGTGTTTTTTTCACTTTAGAAGACTGCAATTTATTATTTGTAGGTTTGCAAGTTGCTCTACATGTGAATTGTATTCACAAGAACACTAATATTGGGACAACTTCATCCTGTAGACCATTTTGAATCCTTTCAGAAGAATCCTTTTTTCACCCTAAGAAAGTCAAGCACTTCATATTGGCTGAGTTACTGCAAGTTTTAATGAAGTATCTGTTATGGTTGCCACATAACAACCCCAAAACATAACAGTTTAAAACCCGAAAACAACAATGGTATTTATTACATTCTTAAATCGGCATATGGGGTGAAGTTGTGTGGGGATGATTCATCCCTGCTCTGCTTGGCATCACCTGGGGTATTCCAAGGTCAGATACCTGAGTTATATGAATAATTGTCAGTGTATTTGGCAGTAGTGTGATGCCTAGCATCATGCAGTAGCCACAGCTTGGTGCCTTCAGGGAAGCCAGATGCATGTATGTTGACTCACTGCTCCTCAAGCAGAGTCCCAGGGAGGAATGGATGGGAGCTCCAGCTCCTTAACCAACAGGGTCTCACTGAGTCCTACCCATTATTTCTACCACATTAAATTTGTTAAAAGAGAGACAACACAGATGACCCATAAGCAAGGGAAGGAGACTTAGACTCAACCTTTGATGGAAGAAGTGTCAAAAACTGCCTGGATATGTTTAAAATGGTCACATCGTAAAAGGAAAAATTAACTACTACTTTTACATTTCACCCTGAAAATCAACAGTTCATATCTAAAGTTACCTCACAGAAACTACTTTTAAAAAATAAATTCTGTTTTTAATGTAAAATAATGATGATTTTCCAGCTTTAATGAAGTACAGTTGACAAGTAAAATGTGATATATTTAAAGTGTGCAACACAATGTTTTGATATATATGTATACACTGTGAAATGATTACCACCATCAAGTTAATTAACACATCTATCACATCCCATAGTTACCTCTCTCTCTCTCTCCCTTTTTGTGAGTTTGTTCTTAGTGGTATGTTCCATAGACTCCTTAAAATAAAATAAGCAGGCCATCTTGCTGAAAAATCAAGGTACAATAAACAAAATTTTAAATATACATAAATATAAGCAGTAACTTTAACAGAAAAGTTTTGCACTCAGATGCATCACAGATACATATGCACAGATTCTAAGCTATGAAAGAATTTCCATACCATTTTGACACTAGAATTCTTACATGTAATTAGATAAATATTTTGTTTTTAATGCAATATATTCCCCTTCAAAGAATCTCTAACTGGGAAAATATTGTTAAAGAACGAAGAACTAAGTTTATAAAACTAAGATTATTCAGGAGAAAAATAAGAATAAAACAAAATGAAACTAAAATAAACAAGTTAAAGTATAAATGCTTAAACTGATATACATGTATATATAAATACATATACAGTCAATAGCAAAATTATAAAATATTAATAATATCCCTAAAACAGTTGACCAAAAAAAGTATATCACTGAATTTACTAGAATAACTCTATACAGTAAAGGTTTTTTTGTCATTTATATAGCAATATCATCTAAACATCCTTAGTTAATAAGAAGCTTTCTTCACCTAAGCTTGATGTATTTGTGCCAAAAGAGGGCTGTGCCTCATTACATCCTACACAAAAGTAACCATGAGGTTCATCAGTGAAAGAAAATGATCCCATTTGTCAGAGCTTCAAGAAGTACACTTTGTTGTCTACATTGTGTGGTAGGAAAAGATGTCATGTGGTACATATTTCTAGGCCAGGATCACGGTTTTGCATGTTGGTCAGAGGTATTTGAGCACTATTTTGGGTAATAAAGAGGAAAGACTGGCAAAACAACAACAAACATAACTGGAGAAAAAGCATGTGCATGAATTTCTCTGAGAGGGCATAAAACATACAAATCTTTGTGCATCATGTTAACACCCACCACACAGCATCCACCAATGAGAAGTCACTTTATAATCAGATGGACAGGATAACCTGCCTGCAGTTAACCCGTCTCTTTTCTTGACCACCATTGTGGTTATGTAATGGACCCAGGATAACAGCATTCTCCATGATGGGGATGGAAGTAATGCATGAGTCCACCACATGGACTTTGCCTCCATAATGCTGATTGAGCATGTCACTTCTAAGTTTGCAACCAACCTGTACCAGAAATGGACCTTCTACCCTGGGTATCATAGTAGATGAGTAACAGACAATAGGTTAAATCCTAGCACCAGATTCTGCTGCTCCAGGATTCTATTGTCAGCATCGATATTGAGGAGCATCGTTCCATGGCAGCCTCCCTACTGTCAACTCTGACCTGGAGAGCATAGTCACTATTAAGCTTCTCAAAATTGTCCCCTCACCAGTGCATTTCTCATTTCCTGAGGAGGTTCCCTGAACTGTCCCAGAGAACACAGGCAGATGGTGGTCTCTTGGGTCCAACCTACCATATCAATTCTAACTCCCCTAACATTCTGGATGATTTTGTATACCACCACACAAAGTTCTTTTATTTGCACGGTTTTTGTTTTTATTCTAGTGTATCATCAAGGTTAGATTTCTAATGAACAGCAAAGCTATAGAAATTAGCTCTAGGTGTCACTCCTAAAAGGTTGAATCATGATTCAGCGTGATTAACATCATGTCAATGAATCCTTTCCTAACCAGGCTAATATTCCATGTAACCCCTCCCTCACTCTTGTCTACAACTCTCTACTCAAGATATTGCACTCCAAGTTACTGACGACACATGGTAACCAAGTATATGGTAGCATTGTTTGTACTCCCAGTTTAACTTCTCTGATTTTCAAACCTTAATTTTCAGTGATTTGGCTGAAGTTAGGCCTAACACCACAGCTTGAAATGTAGTTGGTGGTAAGCTCAGCACAGGCAGTAGCAATAATAGGAAAGTCCAGAAGGGAGTCAGTTGACTTCTGAAAAATATTCGAAGTAATCTGAGAAGGTTCAAAGTGCTTGTTTCTAATGCAATATTTCTTTTAGAGCAATAAGATTCTCAAGGTTATATATTTACCAATCAGTTATATAATTTTTTCCTTATGATGTATGATTTCTAAATGAACTATAAAGGACTAATCTTTTAATTCCAAAAGGATCTTAGCTGTATAAGTTAATGTATCTGTTATAATCGCTCTTGTTAGCATAGCATGCAAAGAAAAACAGAGATTTTCAACATCACACCTGCTACAATCTATGTGTTTATGGGCAAGAAATTTAACCTCTTAAAGCGTAGGATATAAGCAAAATTTGTATATTATAAAGTAACTAGATTATTATGAAGACATTTCAAAAATTAAATTCATACATTTCTATTAAATAAATCATGAACTTTCATAAATTTATTAAGCTTTATAAAATATGAAATACATGAATATCTATATATTTCATTCTAAAGAAATATATAAAGATAAACAGGCCTATAGAATAGTAGTGTAATAAAATTATATAAGCAATGTTTATTTGTAAGGCAAACTGTATAGTAATCAGCCAATAGATTGTATGGAGTGTTATTTTATGTAATAAAGAAAAGGTTAAGTATGAAGAAGAGTATACAAAATATAAACAACCAAAAAAGAAAACTAGATGTTGGAAAACACAGTTATGGCTTGTGTTCAATCATTTTATATCTTTAAAAGATTTTTTTAATGGCAAACAAAGGTTAAATTCAATTATTAAATGAATGTTTGAAACTCTCTGATATAATAAGAACCCAGGATCACATATCTACTAAACAGATTTCCTTCTCTTTCCAAATACATTATTGATCAGCTTGGCCATTGATTTAGATCCACTGGATCTTCTCTTCTCTTTGAGTTTGAAGTTTGTCAGGATGTCCTTGAGAACTCTGATAAACATCATTTCTACCTCCAGAGACTGCTCTGCTGCAGACAGCTCACAGAACTGGCAGCGGTTATCCAACGCCAGCTTTTGCCCTTCTTCCCAGCCAACCTCTCGCACATGACAGAGATCTTGCTTGTTACCGACCAAAAGCACTGCTGATTCCATAGCTCTGAAACACAGATACACAATTCTTTGACAAGATTGAATTATCAATGCCTTTTTTTAATTAAGTAGGTTAATGTCAAAAAGAATTATGGGCCAAAACAGAAAAAAATATTGTGTGTGTGTGTGTTATTTATAGTATATGTGTGTGATACACATCTCAATTTATATAAAAAACTATTTTAGAAAGAGTATAGTAAGTGACACAGGAGCAACAAGTCTCTTAATGTGCAAACTCTGAAGTGATACCAACCTATTTTTGAATTATGGCTCTGTTTACTAAAAATGTATGGCTGCTACTTTTCCAACTTTCAATTCTCTGATACATAAAAACTGGTAATATAGTCATTGTCACACAGAATTCTCATAGAGATTAAATGAAATGGTGTAGGTAAAAATACCAGACACAGTGTCAGGCCATGAAAGATGCTTCTAAATATTGTTTTTCATTTCATTATCAATGGAAAGAGCATATTTACACAATGGAATACTACTTGGCCATAAAAAGAAGAAAACTTTACTATTTGTGACAGGATAGGTGGATCTTAAGGACATTATTCTAAGTGAAATAAGCCAGTCAGAGAAATATAAATACCATATGATTTCACTCATGTGTGGAATCTAATGAACTAAGCAATATAGTGACAGACTCATAGAGCAAAACAATAGCTATCGGGGAGGAATGTGAGGGGTGGATGGATCAAGCAAAAAGGAAAAAGGACTCATGGACATGGACAACAGAGTTGTAATTGCAGGGAAAAGAGTGATGTAAAGGGACTAAATGGTAAAGGAAAAAATACAAAATAAAAGGAGAGAAAAAAGGGAAGGACTAACTCTATTAAATAGTAACTATGATTGAACAATTTAGATGTATAACAAGGTATAATGCCATTTAATACTCATTGATTTTTATTTTTAGTTAATATCCATTATCACATACTCAAGATAAAATCTCACAATCTCATGACCTTGTAGGATCTTTTTTGTTTATTTAAGAACTATGTTAAGGTAATATCTTTGTCAAATTCAATGTAGTTTCACTGGTTACAACAAAATATTCTTAAAACAGACTTTTGTTTGAAGAATACAGTAATATTATTAGTCCTTCAGTGGTATGAAACTCTGCCAAGATATCTACTATGGGAGAAAATTGAACAAGGGAAGCCACCAACTCTATCTAAAGAGATATTGTCCCCAGATTCCACTTAAAGTTGTTTTCATCCACGCGACACTGTGAGCCATGAGGAAAAAAGTACAGTATGTGTTGGACTTTTGGGGATATTAATAGTATATTTTTCCACATAGTTCAGAAAACTATTGTAAATAATGGGTAATGATAAAATATATCAAAAGATGAGTCACAAATATTAGATGCAACTTTAATTAAACAATGCCATATTTTGCTTTTCTAGTCTCTTCAGATTGAGAATTGAAAGTACTCTAAAAATTATTAGTCAGGACATTAAAAAGATTGACAGGAAATGTCAAAAAACTTTATTATTATTTTTACATGTTTTTGGTATGCTTGAGTGATTTCTTTGATTTGGAAGAACATCAAACAAATATCCTCACTATTGCTTACCTATGTCCTGGTGCTTAAATATGACGTTTAATGTTGGAAACAATGGAGTTTAAAAAAAAATAGTTTTACAGGAAATCAGAGCTGAGAGGTACCTTAGCAAAATCTCATCCTTTTCTCCTACCATGCTTCTGACAGTTTTATAATCAGAAAAATTAGGTCTTAAAGATTAAAGACCAATCAAATACAAACAAGAATTTACATCAACTGACTCCAGGGAAATACTGTTTATCAATTATTATCTGATGGTTCTTGATAGTGGGGCTTTTAAAATAAATATAAAAAGTACATATACAAATTTTCAGTGATTATATTGTGTTTTAAGGGCAAATTTGCTTAAGAGCACACAGAATCCCTTACATCAGCATTATGAACAAAATATTTTAAATGGGAAAGGTTACAAAACAAAAAAATTTAAATGGGAAATGTATGTGTTTCAACTTATATTTAACTTATATTTACTAATGCAAGAATGGTTTAAGGAACAGTTATGTCTTTCTTTATAGCTCCTTGTGCCAAGGCCATTAATAATGGGGAATCGCTAATGGGCTATTTACTTTAGGAGGTGAAATGAAGAAAAATGTATTCTCATACATAGAATTTGCATTGGTTTGATTATTCTGTCTATTTTACTTTGATAGATTGAACAACTAAATGACTAGGAATTGGATGCCAAATGTAATAAATCTGGATTTATTTAGTATCCTTAACATTTTTGTGGGAATGAAAAGGGAAGGGTGGAAAGCCAACTATCTTGTGTACAGAGGACCATTATTTTGCAAGTGAGTGTCATGTTAACAATAGGAACTGTCTTGTAAAATCGCCATTTACTCAGGGCAAGTAACTGTTTATGTCAGCCAGGATATAAAGTATTCTCATCTTCTTCCTTTTACTACATGTATAACTCCTGTGGAATGGAAGGTGAATTGTTCAGGGCTGTTAAATTTTGTAATTGGAAGGCTGTATTAAACTCTTCCTAATGATGCTTACAGCTATACGATGATTTACTAAAAAGAAAGGAGAAAGAGATGAAAGATATCTCACCTTTTACAATGACTAGTCTGTGGCTCCCGAATTCTGTAGATCAGTGCTTTTGCAAAAGCAAACGAAGACCTGTCACTGATGTCATACACAATAACAAACCCATCTGCCCAATGCAGCTCGCTTGTGAGGGAAAATCTGGCTTTCTGCGGCTGAAAATGAACCAAGCACATTGAAAGGGTGGAAGCTGACACCTGTATTACACACTTTAGAGTGAATTAATGAAGACCCATTTCACTGAGAAAAGAAGTAAATAAGTCAAAAACTGGTATTTTCTGAAATGTAGTTTCCTTATTTCTTCATCACTCTCTTTAATTAAAAGTGATTAAAAGTTTAAAGTATAAAGGTGAACTATAACAAAGTTGTAGCTATCTCATTTTGCAATACTTTGCTAAGAAAATATCTGCATGTTTTTGAAAAATTGATAAGCTATAATCATTTTCTTTGAATTAATATCCACATATTTGTTTTGAAAAGAGATAATATTTTCTACCTATATTAGTAGGTAGAATATCTGTTGATTCTTGGTGCTAGACTGAAATCAGTAAAAAAATTGTAGGGTAGATAAGAAGATTTAAGATATATTTCCATACCTAAAAGAATCCATCCCAGAGAGTTGTTTTGAAATCTTGAACAACTATATATAGTCCTAATTGTACTTCTTTTGTATTTGAATGAACAAAGAAATTTATACTCAAAACTACCTTATGCTCTACTCTACTGTGAGCTACAAAGGAAATCATGAAAATATAAAGTGAATAATAAGTCATTAAACTATTAGCTTCTAAAAGCTACATCATGACCTGATAGAAATATATTATGAATTCAGCCAATTATTTCTATTTTAAAGATATTTATAATATGACAGTTTTGTCATAACTTTACAGAGAAGTTAGATAATGGAATTTATAGCACTAAAAATAATCTTAATTTTTTTTTAAGATTTTATTTATTTATTTTTTAGACAGGCAGGAAGGGAGACAGAAAGAGAGGGAAACATCAATGTGTGGTTGCCTCTCATGTGCCCCCTTCTAGGGACCTGGCCCAAAACCAGGCATGTGCCCTGACTAGGAATCAAACCAGTGACCCTTTGCTTTGCATGCCAGCACTCAATCCACTGATCCACACTAGCCAGGGCTAAAATTTTAATAATTATTATTGAGAAGAAAATTCAGTATGAAGACTGGCAACTTTACACTGACCCTTATCCAATCTTCTTCAAATCATGATTGAAAAATAAAAGGGTATTTTGTTTCACTTACTTGAGAACAAGGGTCATATATTTCTAGATTCAGTTGCTTCCCTTCCAAACACAAATGCTTATTATAGATGGATTCTGCAAAATACACATATGTTTATTGTTAGTATGGATATACTGCAGAATAAAAATATTGCACCTATATCTGGATCACAATTTTGCAAATTCAAGTGGTTATACTTTAGTGGAGTTGTCATTTATTGCTAGTGGTCAAAAAACATACCTGTTTATTTACTCATATATATTCTTCACAAGTGAAATTCACTACATCTATTCAGCCACATGTTTTTGTGCTTATGGACTTAACTTCCATTCTATTACTATGGATGAATTACCTATGTTTCTAAGGACAATTTACTATGAACTAGTTAGCATCTCCTCTGACCTAGTGAAAAACATGTCTCCACCAATTCTGCATCTTTCTTATGCATCATAAACTCTTCATCTTTACTGTATTATTGCTAACAGCTGAATTCTAATAACGATCCTTTGGATCCTTCAATCTCTTTCATTAAAATTTAAAATATGTTTCCAGACATTTAAACTTTAAAATGTTTTCAGAGAATGCCTTCTAAACTTGATTTAAGTTTACTACTGTGAACCACAAAATTTCCCTCCATATATTTTAAAATATCCACTTCTAAAACTCAAAAACTGCCATCAGAGTCACCACCTGTCTAGAATTTTATTATTTCTCCTTCTAGTCATTATTTATGAGATGGAGTCATTTTTTGCTAGTATGTCCTCATACAGTGGCCACCTTTTGCTAATTTGATTGTTTTTCAATATGTCTCTAAGTTTCATATTCTTAACCAGAAATGTGTATACTTATTTGTTTACATAACTATACCCTATAAAGATTAAGGCAATATTTTTTTTCATTGTTGCTGCCATTGTTTGGGAGGTGTTGTTTTATTCATGTTTTGTAGTTCTGGAACATTTTCTCATGTCTGACTGCTTGCTAGCTTGTGTGTTATGTTGACCTTTTGACAAGGATTGCTGACCTGAGAAATAAAACAATGAGAATTTTTATATACTTCTTCTTTCTGTAATCAGTTTCAGGCACTTGTCTTAAAATGTTCACGGTGTCATATAGACTGAAATACCACGTTGGATACATGTCGAAAACAACATAATGCAATACTTTCTAAAGTTACTTTCTGAAGAACTCTGATAACTTTATCACATAAATGAATGCCAAATATTTTTGTTTATGTTTATTTCTCATGGAAAAACACATTTACAACCATAATTTCATTTTACTCTAAATAAGTGTTATTGAACAAAGTAATTATTTCCCTTTCCTCAGTTCTCATATTACTTATAAATCTATCATTTTTAAACAAAGAACCCGAAGCATTTTCCCATACCTTTGATCATATAAGATATTAATACAATTATATTGATTAATTGCTGAGCCAAAATATACTCAAACCTCTAGTAACATTCCCCATTTTTATTAATTCCCCACTGTGGTATTTCCCATATGTCATACTAATTCTGATCAAAATAACAGATACTTATATTAGAGTTAGTGAAATGCTCTTCAAATTATCTCAAGGTTCCCTGGAACATGTTTTAGAATTTCTCTGAAACTTACATAAGCAACCTATATAATTATATATGATCTTTAATCAAGACATAATTTTCCTATCCCTGGCTGGCATAGCTCAGTGAATTGAGCACGGGCTGGGAACCAAAGTGTCCCAGGTTCGATTCCCAGCCAGGGTACATGCCTGGGTTGCAGGCCAGAACCCCCAGCAACCTCACATTGATGTTTCTCTCTCTCTCTCTCTCTCCCTCTCTTCCCTCTCTAAAAATAAATTTAAAAATTAAAAAAAAAGACATAATTTTCCTGTTATTTTCACACAGTTTTACAATAAAAAAGCTTTATTTTATAATTACTTGTGCTCTTACAATTAATTTTACCTTATCTTTCAACAAGCACTTATCTAATTTCAAAATCATTTCACAGCTTACAAAAATATTCACACTTACATGCTCTACAATATCGTGGGGTGGGGCAGGAAGAGATCTCAGTCTTAATGTTTTTCTACCTTTAAACTGAAACCAAGTGACTTGCTAATCCATCTCAGGTCACATCAAATTGGATGAATTTTATCATAAAATAGTATTCAGTTCAATTCCTTATTTTGGCATTTCTAACCAAGATCTGTGAACAAATAAGTTGCTTTAAAAAAGCAAAAATGAAGGATCTCATTAAAATTCTTTTCTGATCTTAATTGTGGCTTAATTATAATCTCAGTTTAAGGTGAAAAAAGTCTATAAATTAGTGACTTACCAAAATTAGAAGCATATTCTCCAATGAACCGCTTGGTAAGAAACCTTACTGTAAGGGCTGCAAGATAAACAAGCTGGATTTACAGTCCTCTCTGTTTTAGGATACGGATAACCTAGTTATGTGCATAGGGTTTTATCTTCAGGTCAAAAATTACCAAGCATCAGGAAAATCTTAAAGCTTTACCAAATTTGGTCTCAATAATAGTAGCAAGATTTCCAACACAGAACTGTAAAGGTTAAGAGGCTAGAAAAAAAGTGACCTTAGAATGGGGTCCACTCAAATCACTGTGTAATTAATTCACAGATGCAAATATGAGGCAATTTACCTTTTGTAACAGAGGCATACTTCTCATTAAATCTGAGGTGCAGGAACTATAGCATTTCTTTTTTTCTTTATCAAATTAAGTATGGTTTCAAGATGCTACATGCTTCTAATGACAAGGACAATATCAAGCAATTCAGTTACTGAAGAACAGAGGGACTTCAAAATCTAGAAAATAGAGAAAGGACCTCTAGTGTTGGATTATTTTATTACAGCTCCTGAGGTGGCCAGTTACTAGTCTTTGGGCTCAGGGGGCTTCTATGGGTGGTATCCTCATTACCATCATAAAGTGACCTTAATGTGAGCAAAAACAAAACAAAAAATGATGAAATGGCCTCTCAAGCCAGGGCACATGTTGAGTTCCCAGGCATCTACAGAGCAATGTGTTTTCTCCTCTGAAATGTGACATTTAAAAAATAACCCACAGGTCTCCACACACCTCTCTGAACCCTCAGTCTCAGCAGGATTCTTTCGAGACTGTTGTTTGGTGATGGGTGGGTTTGGGGACAGGTGTGTTGGAGTCAGAAATGGGTGGGATAGTGATGGAGGGATTTCCTGTTATTCCTATGATTTTTAAACGTCAGTAGAACAAAATACAAATTAATACTTTAAACAGTTATCTTCCTCAAGCTGTCCATAAACTCTTCAAATATACAGTTAATTACATCACTTGCTTAGAAAATAAAATCTGCAAATGAAAAACAATATACAAGTATATAGTTATACCAAGTTTTACATACAAGCCAATATATTTCTCACTCTCTCTGCACTCTACACCATGCCAGAGGAAACAACACCACTCACCGGATTTGCCTGTTCCTGGACCACCCAAGACAGCAAGCTTCACATCATTCATGTTGTTTTTCTGTTTCTTTTTGGTCAGGTCCACGTTCTGGAGCAATACTGACTTGAGCCAAGTATGAAATTTTTAAAATCCTTCTTACAAAGTAATGCTGCTCTCATTTCTCCAAGGCCAACTCCACCCCACATTGCTACCATCCAATAATAACATTAAAAATGTTGTAGCTTTGAACATATGCCACCAAAGAACTTTGGAGCTACTATTTAGATACAAAGGCTTATTAAGCTAATAGTTAAGAATTTAACAGAAGTTTAGCTCTCCATCTGCTATTTTGTGTACCTTGAGTCTACTTTCTCCTAAGATCTAAAAAAAATGATCTCACTTCATTAAGAAAGTTTTTGGAGGATGACTGAACATCCCTTTAATTTACTTTGATTGAATCAGTTTTTATTTTTCTATTAATACCTGAGCCTATATATTCTTACATTTCTTCTGCGAAAGATGAGAGGGGATATGTTAATTCAGTCATGAAAAGAAACGAGGAAAGGAAGAGGACGGCTACCTCTATGTATTAGTGTAGGGTTGACAGGGACGCACGTGAGCACCCACTCCCTGTCTTTGGGCCTCGGCTCTCCAGCAGAAATACGAGCAGTGCAGTTCCACCATTTCAATGTCCTTCTCAACAAGAAGCTTCTCCCCTCTCTTGTTTTTCCTTTTAATTTTATGCCAATAGACAGCAGTAAAATTTCCAGGAGAAAATGAAACAATCAGCTTCATGTTGTTTAAAGAGCAATGAATGGAAACCTGCCATGCTTCTTTATACAGTACTTTGTACTTAGGAGAAGGAAATTAAAAAGAAAGAAAATTTTAAAAGGGAGTTGTGATATAATTCACTCCTGCTAGGAGAAAAGAGGTAGATGTAATATGCAAAGTAATGATTCTTTCATACTTTTTTTCATCAAATTTTCCTTCTACACTAAGTCCCTACATTACTGTATTACTTTTCCCCACTTTTTATATATTTATACATTTGACAGTTGAGAAAACATATACAACAAAAAATAAAAGAATTCAACTTTTGTGTACTAAATTTTGAGGCCTAGGTGAAGAAGTTTTATTTCATTTCCAGGCCGGGTTGATCACAGGGTAACATGTTTCTTACAAATTCTTTTATTTAATACTGGAAAGGACAGGAAAGGACAAATCAAAGAATGTGTTTGAATGACCCACAGACAAGGACAACAGTATAGGGATGGACTGTGGGAGCAGGAGGTGGGCTGGGTGGAAGAGAGCACAAGGGGGGGGAATGGGACAACTATAATAGAATAACAATGTTGAAAATGTATTTATTTAACAAGCATTGATGAATTTCACTCCTTATTAAAGCTATCTTGTGTTTATGAGGTCAACAATTAAATAGTAAATTTTCTGCCTTGATGGAGTCAAGAGAAAAATGGAAACAACCAGAATTATAATAAATATGATCATTGCTAACAGAGGGCTGTAAGAGCTGGGAAAAGAAAAGCAGTGGCTAGCAAAGTCTTCCAAAAGGATGATAAGCTTGAAACATGAGCATGACCCAGTAAGAGAGGAAAGTGAAAATGACTGAGGACTAGGGAGAGTGTCTACTCCAAAAGAAGAATTCTGTAAAGAAAACAAAGCAAGAGAGAGTATGACGATTTGTGGGATCAATAAGTTAAGAATAAAAACAACTTAAAATTTTCCTTTTATTACAAACTATAAATGTTTTGTAAATAAGCTATGCTTTCTCTTTAATCCATGCAACTATATTAAAAGTAACAAGAATGATTTTTAAGGAACTTTACCAGACGATTTATCAAACTATGGACTTGAGAGTTTTTCCTCTATTTAGCATAATTACATCCTTACCTTCTTAAGAAACTTCTGATTGAAGCTTCTAGAAATTTAGTATACCTACCGACAGGAAGGAAAACCTCAACTTCACAACACGCATGCTTAGAAAATAATAAACAAATGGTCGTTATCGAGACATGTGCTGTGTTTCACCACATCCTCTTCTTCCCTGCTCCCGTTGGGTTCCAAAGGTCAATCCTATAAGAAAGAAGTCTGGGGTTGGAATACAGGGAAGTTATAAACCTGAGCAGAGAGAATATAATTATGCACTTACTTTTCTAAGAAACAAAAGAGTCGATATATTTTTTCTGCCCCTGGTAAAGGGAGCTAAATTATTAATATTCTGATAGATATATTATTATACCACCTACAATTTTCTTATAGTTCCCTACAGAAACATCTGTTCACAACCAAAACAAAATTATTTTTATTACTTTATTCATTTTATTGAATGAACGGAAATTTATTATGTTTACTATGGGATTGGCACTATTCTCAGTGCTAGACACACATCAGTGAACGGGCAGACAGTACTGACAGATGATGGTCATAGGGAATGATCATTAAACATTAAAAGTAAGAAACTAATTACTTATCAGATATTCAGTTCTATTTCTCTGAGGTCAGGTTAACCAGCCCTTCTCAGCTAATTCTATTTCCCTATAATTTTGCCAACAAAATGTTCAGATTCAGAAGGGTGGAGTGACCCTAACAAATCCCCCAAGGAGAAAACTATCTCTGTTCCATAATGCTCTTCTAGGACCTTGAAAAGATAAATACTAAATACTCCCCAACCCAGTTCCTTCATCTTTCATAATCTTAACAAGATATAAATGGTGTACACCATCTTATGTAATAGTGTAAGATGTGTATATGATTACTAAGCATTTTAAAAAACGTTGTTGACATCATTAACATAATTGACCTATGACAATTACACTTTTATAATTCTAAATTTCATAGAACAAGCTTTGAAAGATAATCTTTCATTTGGGTATCATATACTAAAGAAATGTTTTATTCGATATGTAATATTAGTAAATGACTAAATTACATGGGCCTTTTTTGGCAAAAGAAAAATGATGAATAGCTCTCCAATTTTCTAAGGTTTTCAGAGCAAGTGTGTGACTACATAATTGAATGGCTCTGAAAATTTTTCTCAGCATGTATACTTATAATTACAATTGGCTTTTCAAGGTAATGATTAAGTATTTATTTTACTCTTTGAAATTACTTTTGAGGTCCTTATTGTTTCGTAAGATTTTGTTTTCCACTATGTTTATAATAATTGAAATGTGATAGCTAATAGTAATTATAATCAAATATTCACCCCTTTTATCTTCTCTAAAAAATTATGTCAGTTTTTTGTGTAGATACTAGTTATTTTCTTTGAAGCTACTTTAGATTTTTTCAAAGATTCTTTAGCTCTTTCTTAATCACCTGAAGTTGGTTAGTAGAAAAAAAGTGACTGTGGCCTTCAAAAACAGTCATTCTTCCATGCTGTCCCAAAAGGTAAGATTACCTTTGTTATAGCAGAGTAGTATTCCACTATGTAAATGCACCACAGCATTTTTACCCACTCATCTACTGATGGGCATTTGGGCTGTTTCAGATCTCAGCTGTTGTAAATAATGATGCTGTGATGAACAAAGCGGTGCATATATTTTTTCAGATTACTATGCTAAGCGAAATAAGCCAATCAGAGGAAGAGAAGTACCATATTATTTCACTTATATGTCAAATCTCATGAATAAAATAAACTAACAAACAAAATAGAAGCAGACTCATAGCTGCTGAGAATAGCCTGACAGCTGTCAGAGGGGCCAGGGGTTTAGGGCTGATGATAAAGATGAAGGAATTCAGCAATACTCACAGACACCGACAACAGTATGGTGATTACCAGAGGGAAAAAGGGGCGGGGGGAGGTAGAAGGTAAAGAGGGGATAAATGGCAATGGAAAGGGACTTGCCTTGGGGTGGTAGAACCACAATACAATGCAGATGATGGCTATGGAATTGTACCCCTGAAACCTATATAATTTTATTAACCAATGTCACCCCAATTAAAAAGAAAACAGTCAACCTTCTGTAATGCAGCTACTCTAACAGGAAGCTTGAATGAGCAACATGTGTCTACTTCAGTGTATGCACATTCCACGCAAACAGTGAGCTTTAAAGTCTAAGCAATGCAGATGTGAAAAGGATACATTACTTGCATTCCTCCAATTCCTTCCATTAACTTTTAGAAATAAATACCCCAAATTTACATTCAGAATTAAAGCCTACAATTTCACGGAATTGAATGAATAAAAACGTACAATTCCTTTGAAAGCTGGCTATAAATAAACCTCAAAATATGCATGCAGTGGTTCAAACAGAAGAATAGTGTATTTCTTGCTCACATCAAGCAATAGATCAGAGTTCCTCATCAGTGGGGCATCTCTCCTACAACATCTCCCATGTCAGGCTTCCAGGCAGGGCAGTGCAAAGGGAAAGAACGTGACAAATCATGTGTGGGAGGTTTTGGGGAGCTAACTTGGAAGAGCTGCACTTCACTTCTGTTCGCACAAGCCTGAGTCATAACCTGAAACATCAGCCCTTTAGCTCTTCTTGTGACTCAAATGTAGCAGGGTTTGGACTGGACACTATGCCATGAGCTCTCTTGGCTCTCCGCTTTGTCGACTGCAGATAGACTTCTCCATCTCCATATTCACCTGAGTCAATTCCTTTTAATATGCTATAATTAATATAACATAATGTAACTTATAAAATCAGATCCTATTGGTTCTGTCTCTCTGGAGAACTCTGACTAATACAATCTCCATGAGGAAATGGTATTTTCTCTAATAGAATATTTCAAATTGTAGTTTGCTCCATGTCACATGGAGTAGCTGTTGAAGCCAGACCAGCAGGAAGCCTGCAGTCACTCCACTCCAGCACACTGCCATCCACCACTGACCTCCTTTCCCTGCTCATTTGTTCTCCCTGAAACAGATGAATACCCCTTCAATATGTTTTGCAAAATTCTGATCACGTGTGCTTTAGCCTCAATGATGTTTCCTAATCAGTTTATGATATGTATTTATAATTAGCTTTCTCATGCTTACCTCATCTCCTTGGCTATTTATTCAAAAGTTGAGCCCTTTAGATTCCATATATAAATGAGGTCATGTGGTAATTGTCTTTCACTGGCTGGCTTATTTCTTTTAACCTAATATTCTTCTGGCCTCTCCATGTTGTCACAAAAGGTAAGAGGTTCTTCTTTTTTATCACTCTATAGCATTCCATTGTCTAAATATACCACAGCTTTTTTTTACCCACTCACCTACTGGTGGACACTTAGGCTGTTTCCAGATCATAATGAACTAATGAACGAAATAGAAACAGAAGCATAAACACACAGAAGAGACTGACAGTGGCCAGAGGGGAGAGGGGAACTGGGTGAAAGGTGGTGAAGGGATTAACCAAAGAACATCTATGCATGACCCATGGACACAGACAACAATATGAAAATTGATGTAGGGAGGGAGGAGAATGGGACTAAGTGGAAGTGGGGAAAGAGTGAAAAAGCACAAATAATAAAAAATTTAAATTATTCATTAAAAATAAAAGATATTTGCTAGTATCTTTGTAAAAAAAAAGTTGAGCCCTTTAAAGCACTGTTTTTATCATAAGCATAAAGCCATGGTTATGGTTATTAAGTATCCCTCCACTTTCTTATTTATTTATTTCTTTCTTCTTTCTTATTTAGAGAAAATATAAGTGATTTTTTTTCAGTTTTGCTTCATAATAAGTATTTTCTTCTATGGTT